AAAAATTATTTAAAAAAATTATTGTATTGTGTATTTATTAATTTAAGTTACATTTAGTGCTCTAGAAATAATCTCATTAAATATAACTGGACCTTAATAAATTAGCGCCTATTTCTATTGTTACTAAATTTTGCAATTTATCTCGACATAATTTTGTCATTAATAATCAAAGAATAGAGTCATCGAGATAAAGCTCCCGAACTCTGCAGATTATTAATGACAAAATCATGTCTCAACAAATCGATATCAAAAAACATTCAAAATTTAGATACAATAAAAATAGTCGACTATATATCAAGGTCTCGTTATTATACCTTTGATTATTTTTTGGAGTGGGTTTTTTAAAAGACTTTTAAAATTTGTAACTTGTATTACAAATCCAAGTAGACGGTTTGCATTTGCAGTAAGTAGTCTTATCAATGTGAGAAATAAATCTTAATTTTTGCTCGAAATCAACACAGATATCTCTAATTGGTTCTGGTATCATCGTAATGTGTAACTGTACAGAAAAGTAACATAATATTTTTTAAGACAGTTATGTATGGATTCGACTTATTGAAATAGCTTGAGATCGTTTTTGTATAATAAGCTTTTTACTTCAGTATTCGATACAATAAAATTAATAAATAACATAAAAAGTGGCCGCTTTAGCAGAGTTTTGGGGTACTCCTGATATTTGGTAAAAGCTTTATATGCAAGGCACTGTAAAAATTGTGGGTTGCTTAAAAGATTTATCCACTTTTGACTTAAATCTCAATCTTTCCAGCTTGGTTAGAATTAGGTTATGATTAATTTTGTCAAATGCTATGGAGAAGTCAGTGTACGTGACCTCTTCTATCCAATGTCTAAACAGTCTTACGGAATAAATTACTAGCAGCATATTTTTCTGACTGAAACCCATTCGTCGTGTGTAGGACGAGAAATTGGAGAAATTATTTAATATTGTAATATCGTTTTTGTTTCCCATTGACGTAGAAAATAACTGTGGCTTATTATCAGATTAAAAATAATTGTTAAAGGTTTAGATAAAATCTGTGCACAATCTCTGATCAAAACGCAGGTATATTGTCAGTTTCGGTTTCGGTTTATGCTTTTTTACTGAAAATACTTCTTCAAAAATAAACAATTTATTGTAAGTGTGTTAATTTTCTGTATTAGAATAAGTCGAAGCAGTGTAATTAATCGAGAAAAAGTCGCAAATATATTAACTGTGTCCTGTGGATTATCTAATTGTGTATAGTTATAAAACATGGTCCTTGGAATAGACGATTTATAGCATAGCCAAATATTTTTTGGCTCATCTTTAATATATTTTTCACATAATAATAACATAGGTCTCATAAGTGTTCAGAATGATCGATTACCCCTGGGGTGGAACATAACATTGTGTCCAATTTGAACGTTAAAGGCCTGCTTAGCTACATTGACAGTACGAATAAAATTATTATTTCCTTACCTCGACATATCTAGATACTGAACATAATTATGTCAACACATTATTTATTCGATAGCGTGTGGTATCATCTTCATCAGCGTATTCAAAATTGTCACTGTCTTTCGCTGTCCGCGGTGCCGGTGTATGAACAGGTAGAAGCCCCTCCAGCTTTCAATTTCTGCCTACTCGAAAGTTTCTTTTGCCATCGACAATCGGTATCTTGGTCAGTTCGCACAATTGAAAAACCGTAGCAGTCAGATTAATCGACGACTGTGTAAAGGACTAGATAAATTATAAACTTTGTCTGCTTAAAAAAATTTCGTGGAGTGACAGGGTTGTTTCGAAAACTGTGATAATATCGTAGTGTGTCTTAAAAGTAGATATGTCGCCAAAATCTGTCCAACCTTTCTTGAACGGAATGAAGAAGGTTCCTGAAGGCAAACAAAAGGAATTGCAGAAGATTAGGGCCTGGTGAGTAAAATTTGCTCAATAAATTACTTACTGGATGTCGCAAATATAAATAAAAAGTTGAAGTTAATGAAAATGAAGGTAATACAAATGAAATTAATACAAATGAAGTTAATACAAATGAAGTTCATACAAATGAAATAAACACAATTACAGAATAAATTAGGAATTAAGAATAACTCACTGATACATTATAATGCCTCTGTGCGAGCTAGTTTATTTTAAAATATTTATTATGTAAAATACGATATTGAATGAAAAAGAGATAAATAATAAAACAAAAAGTATCTACGTTGGAAAAAGACGTAATCTGGTGATGGAGAAATTCGGTAGTTATATCATGATTAGATAATAAATATTTTTAAATCGTCTAAGTAGAAAATTCGTTGTTAAACTTATTTTAAATACCTTAAATCGTTAAACAATTTAAATTTTCTAACAATTTACATAGGCTTAAATTATTTGGTTAAAGTATTATCTGCTGTCATTTTAGTGTTCTTTGGGATCCATTCAAAACGAATAACTTCTGTGTTGTTCCAAAAAACGGTTGTCAAGAGCTTCCTAACTGAAAATTGTGCAGGTATATTCCATTTTTTAAAAAAAAAAAAGGTTTACAACGATTTCAAATGATTTTGAGAAATTTACTGGTGAATGTTTTTGTTAATTTTTTGGTGCAAAATTCATGTGTCACACTTGATGGTGAATGATCTCTTTAACTTAAATACTATTTAACTTATTTTTAAAAAAGATTAATACTGATTATTCTCTAATAAATAGTTGAAAATTGTGTGGGTACCTGTTTTTTGAGAGAGAAAAATTTGCCGTCAAAGCTGTTTTTGTTTGTTGTGACAAAATTTAAATACCTAAATATCACACATCACACTGGAGGGTAAATGAGCTCTTCAACTCAAATACTCTTTAAATAATTTGTAAATGCGATTAAAACTAAATATTCTCTTATTATAAATCAAATCAAATGCATACAAAAAATATATACCAACAATTGATAGGAATAGTAAACAAATTATGATTTTTGATTCTAAAAATTTTTGACAGTTCTGACGTTTCCACTTACACCGGCAGTAAATGTTAACTTTCTTATTTTAAATGGAACTTTTGTTCCGGATTCCGATATTACATAAAATTTTGAGGCCACTTTGTATAATAAAATGAAAATCTAAAATTAGTAATATACGAAAAAGAAATAACGGCGTTTCCGAGAGACAGTCTCCTACAATTGACGATACAATTAGGTGTAACGACTAATTCTGTGCGCATTTTACTTTTAAACAATTTGTAATGACAGGTATAGATAAAACTTATTTATAGTATCCTATTTCATGAAGCATTCCACTTGCTATTAAATTCGTATAAAAAGGAACTGAATTGGATTCATAGCAAAATGATTCCAATTTAATCATTTTAAAATTATTTGCAACTGACCTGATTTCTTTAATTTTATTTATTAAGTAATGTAATTAACTGTGACTGGTATTACTACCGGAAATATACATTAAAAGTATTAAGATGTTTTTCCAACAAAAAGTCCTTTGAAATCGTAAGTATTGTCCATTGTTTCTTCCGCAATGAAGGTCAATATAATTTTAATCCATTTAAGGCGGCCTAAATTCATTAAAGGTGTACATTACAATTTGCTAACAATTAAATTTAATTAAACTTGGTAAATTGGCAGCTTTCTAGTTATATCAAACAAGTGATAAAACTTTTTGTACTAAAAAAAAAGTTGAAGTATCTACTTTCTACACATAATTGTTTATACTTAATTAATTACTGTGCTAAAACATCGTTTAGAACAAAAATAAGTTTTTGTGCTTAATGTAGGTACACTAAATGAGAACCTTGGCATTAACACTAACTGTGGACTCTATAAAAGGTATTTAAGAAACATTTCTGCGAAACAGTTAAATTAATTTTAATGAAAACAATTACACCTTTGTGTGGAAAGACACTCATACATGCAGAAACATGGTCATAGCAACATATTTTCCCATTAAAATGGGACCACAACTATATATTCTAAAATTAAGATGTCCAGTTAATATTGGTGCATATTTCGGCCAACATGTTGACTGGGAATGGTGAAAAATTGAGAGATTCATTAGTCGACAGTTGTCGCAAAACTTCACGCTTCACGTTCAATTTTGAAATTGCTTTAAAATTTGAAGGAAAATAGATAAAATAGTAAAGTAATATACAGAGTGGCCCAAAAGTCTGGAAACGGCCAATTATCTCGTAAATTGCTAATCCTAATTGTACAAAATTTGGGGTACACCTATTTTGGGATACGGTGATTCTAGATTTGATATTTGCAATGTTGCCAGATTTGCCGTTTCTTTTAAATTATCAGTCACTTTGGTTTTTGAAATTCATCACCCTGTATATTCAGTCATTATTGGAATCTCCTATTCAATACGAGTTCAACCATATGTAACACTTTATGATTTTGGCTGATTCTGAAAAAAAGTCGAAACCATCTTTATCGAGTTGATCAGTTTTTTTTAACTCATAATCGAATTTTTTTTTGCTCAAGTCGTAGTATATGTCTTGTTTGAGAAAAATATTATAGTGGTCTTCAACTGTTTAGAGTTTTAATCGGATATAAAAATTTTTCAAAAATTTGAAAGTGAGGGAATGACAGATTCGTGAGGGAATGATTTTTAATATGATTCTACAATAATTAAAAACTTTATAATGCACCAATCATTTATTTTATTGAAAACTATATTAATTAAATAATTTTATTGAAAAAATATAATAATTAAATCCATACTGTAACAATTTAATTGTTACAAACAAAACACGTTGACTCATAAAAGTAATATTAAATATTAATTTAGTTAAAATAATTTAAAGAACGAAATAAAGAAGTACTATATAATCAGTTTAAAATTTGACTTATGTTCTTAACATACTAAAGACAAGAATGTATACTGTTATATAGATGATTTAAATGTATTAAAGTAATGAAAAGAGAACATAAATTGCAATTTTGCTAATATAATATTATTTATCCGTTATCAGTCTCTATGCAATCTAATCACAGTTGTCGTTAGTTATTTTCACCTTCTTGAAGTTTTTATTTTTTTTCATCGACTTCTTTAACGAAATAACAACCTCGACTGAGTAACTTTGGGGGTTTAATTATTTGAAGAAGGTCAGCCCAAGCATAAAGTTCTTCATCTTTAACTGTCGGCCATTTCCAGCATTTTGATCCTTTTTTCATACACCGAACTAAAGCCCCATCATCAGATAATGAAAGAATTTTACCAGGATAGACTTCGTTATTCCATGTTATTAGGACATGATCACTAACTTTATATCCATAGGCATTTTTTTCAGAAGGAGTAATCTTCGATATCTCCACATTACTTTCTACTTTATTAGCTTCTTTTCTTTTACGTCGTGTTGATACTGCAGGTGTGTCCTTATCCGATACTTCAAAAGTTTTGTAGTAACCAAGATGAAAATGTTGGCATTTTCCAACGCAGTCAAAACAAGATAGAGTTCTAAATTCAAGCACATCATTTGAGAACACAAATTGTCTGATTTTTTGAGTGCCAGGAAAAGTTGAAATAGACTTAGATTTTTTGATCAAGTTATCCGTATTATTGATTTCCGTTGTACTTACCTCAATAAGCATTATTGAGGGACACTTTGAACTCAGAATATTTTTAAACACATTTAAATCTGTCACATCTTTCCCTTCAGCCACGGCTTGGTCGGCAGACCTCTTTAAGGTGCCACCAACACCATCTGGTGCTCCTTTGCCATGACCAGGCTCAGAATAGTTCCAAGTAAAATTGTTTATACCTGGTAAAAAATATTTCAAATGATGAGAAACAATGTGAAAAACAAATTTGTTTTTGTACTGGTTCACTGGGCTGTCACTTAGAATGTGAACAGTATGGATGTTCGGTCTTTGATTTTTAAGCCAATTGAATATTGGTTTAAGATGAGCCCACACTGCTATTGAGTCATGTCGACTATTATCAGAGAGAGTACAGAAAGATTGTGTTTTTATAGTATCATCAGGATTTTTCAAATATAACACGCCAGTATGGAGCGTAACTTGCTGCCGACCACCACCAAAGTGAACTGCTTGAATTTCTTCCCTGTATTTGCAACAATAATTCTCACTAAAATCAATGTGGATGAGCACTTCATTTGTTGATAAATTTTTTTTTAACTGTGTCATCATTTGATACTGGTGTGCAATATTTCCTGCATGTAGTAAGAATGATTTTAATGTCTCTTCTAATACTAAAACAAGTTCCTTCAAAGTAACAGTTATTTCCTTCTTCAAAGGTTTACGCACTGTTTTTGTCTCTCCATTTTTTTCATACGTTGAATTTTCGTACATCCATTGTCGGTAGGTAACAGTTTTAGTAGCTTGGGAAAGGTTGTATTCTAGAGCCTTGTCTCTACAATTTATACATTCTCTAAATAAACATTTAGTACAGTAAATATCACATGTTATATCAGATAACAAACTTGGAATATTATTATGTAAGATGACTTTATTTTCATGTAATTTTGATATGATTAGTTCTATGTTTGCGTGAACGACGCATTTACACGTATCTCGTTCTTTAAGGTTTGCCCAAGTTACCCAAAAAGGCCTGTACTTACAAAATGTTGACAAACTTATTTTGTAAGTAACAGAGTTTAAAAATTTTTTATGCAAATTCCGCATATTATCAGTTAACAGACGCTTTTGTTTTAGTAATTTTCCAGATCTAACAAAATCCCTCTTTCCCGGACACATTCGAGAGTTTTTATCTTTCTCCAAGAAATCGATAATATCGTGTTTCACTTTTAAAATTTTTGATTTAAGTTTTTTGTTTCTACCTGTTTTGTAATTTTGATTTTTGAAAAAGGTTTTAGAATAATGCATAAGTTTGTGTTTTTTTAAAGGATCTAAATTAAAATTTTTATAGTATGCTTGTTTATTTTTTTGAGTCTTTAGGTTTGCATAAGATTGTGCTAATTGTTTAGTGATGATTTCAGAAAATATAAGTTTTTTTTTAACTGTCTCGGGTAACTTTGTATTCTTTATCAGGGTTTTGACCTTTGCCTCAAGTGAAGATATGTTTATTCGGTTATTTAACCGTGTGTACTTTTTTCTATATTTTTCGCTCTTCCTACCCTCTTCTTTTAAATTTTTTTCTAACTTTGCTATTCTTCCATACAATATTGCTCGTCGATTTCTTAGTTGTCGCCTTCGCCGTGAAGCAACAGTTTCGTTCTTAGCAGCATTTACTCGTGAACTAGGTTTTGCTGATGAAACTGGGCTGGCAGGTTGATGAATCCTTTCTAGATTTTTACGCACATTTTGATTCTTCTCCCTGTATTTTGAACTGTTTAATCGCCATTGTTTCTGTTTCTGCCTTCTTTCTCTTGAACTCATAGCACTTACAGACTTGACCTGACCTTTTTCCTTCTTCTTTAAATACTTGAGTCTTTCTTTCTCTCTAAGTTTTTCCAAACTTTCAGGACAATTTTTTAATTTTTCTCTTCGCTTTCTGTCATACTCCTTTTTCTTTAGCTTTGCTTCTGCAGCAGTTGATTTTCTACTTCTCGACATTATAGATGTTCAGGGTACTGAAACCAATCAAACAAACATAAGTATTCTAAATTTATTAGAAAATAAATCATTCCCTCACCGAGATCATTCCCTCATTAAAAAAATTTTATGAGGGAATGACGGTGAGGGAATGACAAAACGAAACAAAATTGCTACAAACTTAGGAACATAACCTTACTTTCTTACGAATTTTAAACAGTACTTTATTACTACCGAAAACATATAAAAATATGATATGATTATTAATTAAAAAAATGCTTACCTTTTGATAACATTACATGAGGAAATGACATTAAAAAATGGAATATTCAAAAAAATTAATGTCAAATTGATTTTAAGAAAACATCCTTTTTTCAATTGTCCACTCTAGTGTATGTTCTCAAAGGCAATGTTGCCAACTTCAAAAAAAATTAAAGTGGGACTTGGTAGGCCTTGGAGTATTGCTCCAATCATACTGTTACAAAACGGTGAGGGAATGATACTTTTTTTAAGGACAAATTTTGAATTATATTTAAAAATATTTCCATTCGGATTTATGAAACTATGAACTCATATAAGTATAGTCAATACTATCCTATATAAGTAAAAAATATGATAATAAACAATTTCTTAGGAATTTTACGTTTTAAGTTAATAACTATCTTCAAATGTAGCACTTGGGACATAGTGAGGGAATGATTTTCAGGGTACTTTCTTGGACATACCTTTGTTGTTTATCATATAAAAAATAAATTTGTTTCATACATTCGTAGATCAAGCACAGTGGTATTATTAAAAAAAACAACTTTTCATAATTAACGATCCTGGTTTATAAAAATGATCAAGGACATCAATTTCGATTTTTTTTGAGAATCAGCCTTTTATGTAGTCTGGAAGGTCTTAAAAAAATAAAATAAGTCTGGCAACGCCTAATTGTCTCAATAAATTTTTTTTAATACAAACTATTTTTAACTACATTAAAACGTAACAATTGAAAGATTATAATATTTTTAACATAATGGTTACTTTATCAAGTGTTCAAAATGTGCTCCATTTGTGAGTTGACAGTACTGTAACAACCGGCAAGCCTAAAGATCATGTGTAACTACTGATAGGTCTTTAGCTACTATTAAGGGATTAGGGCAGCGTCGTCACCAGCCAGAGGATCCTGGAGTCCTGAAGGAACATCCATTCACCAGTGACAAATAAAAATATAAAAAAATTAAATTAAAAGAATAAAAAAAAATCCCTTAATAGCATATGTCGAGCGGTTCTTGGCAACTAGTTTTAGACTCTTTTAGTCCTAAGGGAATAGAAACGCCGAGGCTTCTCAAATGCTCGGAGTATTTTGCTGGTTTGGAAAGGGAGGATAGATTAATAATAAGTATTAAAACATTAACAAATGTATATTAACAATAAATATAAAACTTGACAAATAGTCTTCAGAAAAAAATGAATAAAATTCCATTTAGGGAATAAAGCACTAAATAGTAATAAAGATATGCATAAGATAAATATAATTCGGGACGAAAATGTAAAATTGGCATTTATATGTAAATCAATCAATTAATTAATATTAAACAAAAACACTTTAAAATTAAGTTAAAATATTTACCCATAATTCACATCGTACAAAAAATTATACTCTACACTTTACTTTACAATACAAAACGGGAATTTTTGCCCAAGGGGCGAAAGTTCTGGACCTTAGTCCGAACCCGACTGAGTGTTTACCCCCAAGTGATCCTTTCTTTCTGTCTCCTCTTTATATAAACTAAATTTGGTTGTATTTAAAAATGTCACGTTCAATAACCTGAAGGTTTGTTTCATTTTCATACGTGTCTTTTAATTATTTAATTTAAACATTAAATACTTGTTTAGAATTTTTGGTAAATTCTTTAGATTTTTCAATTAATAATAATGCCAATTATTACAGTACCCTAATCGATGGTAAAATGCGTCTACCACATTTCTCCATGATTGTTTTATTTATTTAAGACCTTTCAGACTACATAAAATCATAAGTGTTACATATGGTTGGACTCGTATTGAATAGGAGATTCCAATAATGAATATACAGGGTGATAAATTTGAAAAACCAAAGTGACTTATAATATAAGAGAAACGGCAAATCTAGCAACATTGCAAATATCAAATCTGGAATTTACGAATCCCAAAATAGGTGTATCCCAAATTTTGTACAATTAGGATTAGCAGTTTACGAGATAATTGGCCGTTTCCAGACTTTTGGGCCATTCCGTATATTATTGAAGGGAACTTAATTTTCTACGACCCTATGGTCGGCATTTATTTTTTGGCTGCATCGTTGACGAGTTATCCTGGCAAAAAGAGCAAAATATATGAGGCAAAAATGTTTTTTTTTTCAAAATTATAAACTTGCAAGAGCTGATATATCAAAAACTATAAAAGATATCTACAAATTTGATTAAACAAAACTTGCAAATTTATTAAGCTTTCATTCCATATTGAATGGGCATGTCGCTAGGACGCATAGGACGTTTTTTAACAAGATACGCTAGTTACTCTTATAACACACCTTGTATAAATAATGAAAAGAACAGGTAACATAACAATAACATCATAGTTCATCGTTCAATCCATAAATAAAATAAAATAAAAATAATGTTTCAATCGGATAAAAAACCATAGAACCATAGAACCACCCTGTACATAAAATATAAAAGTTATTTTTAGAATCTACTTATTCTTACTAGCAAGCAAACTGCATCTATCTCAGTAAATGTTTAATAATAGAACATTAAGCTAACGTTCAATTTCCGTTCAACCAATGACGACTTGGCACTTTAAATCAGCAGAGCGAAAAATTTTCGACTACGGCGCTGTGCTTACTGGCCTGCTGTATTTTTATACAATCGCTTCCCCTTCCAAAAATGTCACGGCACGCCACTGCTAAATTAACATTATCACAACGTGGGTATATAAATTATCAATTAATTAACTAGACGATCACCACTACTACTTCTACACAAAAAAAGGCCAAATACAGTAAGTATATAATTTAAAGTAAAACAAAATTAAGAAGTAAATAATAATAAGATTTCAGACGTTAAAACAACGATCAAAAAGTGATACCGGGGGATGGGCAGTTACAATACCTACTCATTAAGTCCTATTTTAGCTAGTAGGGTGTTAAATCTGGTGGGTGTAGTGGACGGGAGATACATTTAAACGTTTAATCTAGCTTCCTTTAATTACCAAATTAACAACACATTTCTTTCCGTAAGCGTCCTTTCTCCTCTAGTATTTAATCATTACTTTTAATTTAATTTCCTTAAGTCAGCATCGAAACTTGGTCATGGTCGCGAAAGAAATCGTTGTTTATATAACAAAATTCTTAACCTACGAATATATATGTTGGATAGGCAAACATTTTTTCGCGATGTGTTCTGTTGTAATCCATTTTTCTTTAAATGGTACACGATAGTTTCGCAAATTTATGGAAGAGAAAGCAACTATATATTTATATTCTCGATTGCAAAAATAATCTCATTCATAATTAGCTGCATTGGCTAAAGCATTAAATAATTATATTAAAATAATATATGCTTATGCTATTAAAAGAAATAATCATACATCATAAGGCACTCGACTATGGTTACTATTCATTATGATGTATAAATTATCCTAGAATATCTGCACAAGAGAAATTAGCAAAATAATTTTCTGTTACGTATTAAGGTGATTACAGCACCCCCATATAATTTTCGGACAAGCATATCTCAAAAAGTGATTTTTTTTTTAAATTAAAATTTTGGCAAAATAAATTAGACAATAATATCTAGAATATGCTTATATTTTAAAGTTTTAATTATTTCCAGTTTCCAAGAAAAAAATCAAAAGGCTTTAAATTTTGAAATATCATAATGAAAATAAATGCATTCCTCAACAGCACTATTTTTAATATAATCCCCAAATTTAGGCTCATAAACTCTAGTTAATAAATTTTTAAAATTTGCCGAAATTAGTGGCTAAAACGCCTCGTTAAGGGCTGCTTTCTGGTGTAACGCGTCCGGAACTATCGTATCATACACTCTGAGTCATCATTCGTTTCTTGCAACGATTTACACCAGTTTACACCAGAAAATAGCACTTAACGAGGCGTTTTAGACACTAATTTCGGCGAATTTAAAAAAATCATTAACTAGAGATTAAGAGCTTAAATTTGGGGATTATATTAAAAATAGTGCTGTTGAGGAATGCATTTATTTTCTTTATAATATTTCAAAATTTAAAGCCCTTTGATTTTTTTCTCGGAAACTGGAAAGAATTAAAAATTTAAAATATATGCATATTCTAGATATTATTGCCTAATATATTTTTCCAAAATTTTAATTTTTTAAAATAATTATTTTTTGAGATATCCTTGTCCGAAAATTATAAGGGGTTGCTGTAATCACCTTAAATAAAGATTCTTGGGAAATTATGAGATACATTTTTCAACATTACCCTTACGACATTATTTTTGAACCCCTAAAAAGAAATTAAAGTTATTGAAAAATTAAAAAACTGTCACAGAAAATATTCGAACTCTCCACATTTTATATAGGGCAAGTCAAAAAATTAATAGATCCTTTTTGATGTTATTAATTTAATTTTTATCTCTTATTAACAACACCAAACTTGATCTACCAACTTTTTGACTCGACCTATATTAATATATTATTAAATATACACCTTAAACCATTTTAAAATATATTGTAATGGTGTTCAGTATCTGAACAGCAATTAAAGATATTTTTTGTAAAGAATATTCTTTCGTAAAAATGTTTTTCTATTATTTATATTAAAAAGGTTGACAAACTGTGACAGCATTAAAATTTGTAAAAAGGTGTCACCAACCTAAATTTAAATTAATAATAAAATTTTAAGTTAAAATAGAGTCACCTGTATAAATAAGTAAATTTAAATTTGCTAATTTCTAATTGACTAGTAGATTTTTCAAATAACTAGATCGAAAATTCTAAAAAGTGTTGTTTATA